TTTATATTGAAATATCCAGTGGCGGGGGTTTGGTCATTTTCGATTTTCGTGTAGGAGTTGCAATACGATAACACTTCCAAAAAATTCCGCACGCAGCTGGGTATTTTATGAATGAAATCAGCCATTTTTTTTACAACTGCATTCCCCTTACCGTTGCCCCGTAGACACAGAGTCGCTGGGCAGACATTACTGCATCTGCAATGAAATTACCGCGCATCGGTGAGCTTCGTTCTAGGTATCATATATGGCGCCGTATACAAAATGGTTGTGGCGGACTCATAACCTGGCTCTCTGCTACTCGACACCAGCCGGACGGAGCACTCCGAACAGTCGGCACGGAACACGGCTGTCAAGGGATGCCTGAGAGGAGAAACGGAACTTAGCCACAGAACGTCAATGGTCAAGCGTCAAGAAAAGACCAGTTCGCGCTCTTTCGGAATGGACCAACAACAAAATAAAATACACAATTAAAACATTGTAATTCTATTTATTTTTGGACAATTTTATTGTGAAGAACAATTGAAAAGTAAAGTGCTTTCCTTAAATTGTTTTTGTGCAAAGTGTGTGACAATAAAATCCACATGGTTTGCAATGAAAATGTGACGGTAAACTTGGTATCGGTTATAAGAGATGGCGCCGTATGCGGGCTTATTAATTTTTTTTCATAAATAAGTAAAAAAGGTAATTTTTTTGTTTTGTTTTGTTTATTTTTTTGATTTTTTAGATTTATTATGTTAGGATAGACAAAGACAAATCCAATAAAGTAAAAATCATAAAAATCAGTCCAGCCGTTCTCGAGTTATAAGTGTTTCCACAAAACACAACTGTGTTTTATATATATAGATGCCAGAGACAAATGAATGTCAAAAACATAAATTACATGAACCACAACAACGCCAAAAATAAAAATTTCTATCAAAAAAACGTTCTCGTTCTCAAACTGAGAAAAACACTTAAGAAATTCATTTGTCTCTGGCATCTATACATACAAAACACAACTGTGTTTTATATACCGGGTGCCCACGAGATCACTTTCCGGCTGCCATTTTTTTATTTATTTATCGATATCAACGAAACTTGGTAGAGTTGATATTCTTACCAAACGCCATTTTTATGCATTTATGACAAGTTTTCCCGACTTCCGGTTTCACCGGAAATGACAGCAACTTTTGATTTTTAAATGGCACACCCTGTATATTTTTTGTTTTTCGGATTTTACAGATCGTTTTACATCCTAATGCACCACTTTTGAATCGATTTTTGTCCAAATTTTATTTTTTTAACTAGAGTGCCATGATCATCCTAAAATGATTCTACATACTTTACTTAATTTCAGAAAAATACAAACTCAATTTTATTTTTGTAAACTTTTTTGATAGAGGGCTGTAAACTCCATTATTTCAGTATTTTTGCCCTAGCTCAAAAAGTAGAATAGAAACATATCACTTTCATAACATTACTAAATACAGTATTTTAAAACGAATCCAACGATATAATACAGTACGACATTTTTCTCAATTTTCGTTCATATACTTATTTTTGTAGATAATTTTTTTTTTTTTACTTAAAATTTAATTTGAAAACGAAATTTGGACAAAAATCGATTTAAAAGTGGTTCATTAGGACGTAAAACGATCTGTAGAATCCGATAAACAAAAAATATACAGGGTGTGCCATTTGAAAATCAAAAGTTTTGGAAATTTCCTGTGAAACCGGAAGTCAGAAAAAGTTGTCATAAATGCATAAAAATAGCGTTTGGTTAGAATATCAACCCTACCAAATTTCGTTGATATCGATGAACAAATAAAAAAATGGCAGCCGGAAAGTAATCTCGTGGGCACCCGGTATATAGATGCCAGAGACAAATGAATGTCAAAAACATAAATTAGGCAATTTAAACCACGTGACATTCAAGATGGCGTGGCGGCCACACATGGGCCAAAAAACACAAAAAAATATCTAGTTTCTGTCCGAATTAATAGTTTAGGTACCTAGTCAACAAATATTTTATTAAATAATGAAAATCAAAGTTTTAAGCAAAACTGTATGCAAAATAATTTAAAAAACGCATGAAAACATATTCAGAACAAACTTGCTTGGCTGCCACGCCACATTAAATTTTCCTTTTTGACAGATGGATTGAATTGCCTAATTACATGAACCACAACAACGCCAAAAATAAAAATTTCTATCAAAAAAACGTTCTCGTTCTCAAACTGAGAAAAACACTTAAGAAATTCACAGAAAAATGAAAATAAACAGGGTTAAGGTGAGGTTAAGTGTAGACCAATGAACTATAACCAAAAACTGGAATGCTAACACATAAGGACGAACGTGAAGCCTAGTGCGGCTGCTGCGGAGGGGATACCTGTTTTTGTCGCACTCATTATGTTAAATGGCGAAAATTGCTTCCAACACGTATTCCAATTGATGAAACCTGTGAAGGGAAATATGACAAAACTTTCGAAAGCGTCATATGTCAGCGAGCAACAGAGAAAAACAACATTCCCCTTTGTGGCATCTGTCTTTCATGGCTACATTTTTTTGGCAGATATGGCACTGTGCACAAAACGCACTGTGTGCGCATTCCAGTTTTTAGCTCTAGTTCATTAGGCAATAGGCATGATGACAGTAATTGAAAATCACTTAAATTGTGTTTTCACTTGATGAAACTTGACTCATGGAATACGAAACACGCATTTATTTTTTTATTAGGAGCCAGATTGATGATTATTTTGATAAAATAAAACTGCAAAATACGAAGGTCCGCCATATTATGTTAAACGCCAATCAGAACGAATGACGTCACTTTTGAGTAAATCAGTTAACAAACGACTGGTTCCGCGATTTTCTTGCGATTTAATTTGCGACTCAATTTTGTTTATACCGTGTTTTGTTTATACCGAATATTGAATCAAAAGTGAAATAACGCGAGTCATGGAACAAAGATTAAGCAGAAAAGAATCAAGAAATGGTAAAACTTCTATCTAAGTATGATTGTTTTTATATTTTTAGACCTCAAACAAGATACATACTATTTTAAAATCTACGTAGTAAATTAAATACTTGCGTTGAAAGGATTTTCACAAAAATAAAGGTAAGTTCTAGGCAATATTGCTGTTGAATCTCGCGTTGCAAGTTTAAGCCACTTGTCCCTTATCGTTTTATTTTGTGGAACCAAGGCAAATAACTTTCCAGGAGTTTTTAATCATGTGTTATCACACTGAGAAACCGCACACCACTTGTACATTTTGGAATTCATATTTAATTACACAAAATATCTAAATTATTCAAATTTTCAATGAGCGTTTAGGTTTTGTTTACTCAAACGTGACGTCACGAATGACGCCATGACACTGAGAAGCGTTTTGGCGCGAATTTTGAATATAAAAACTAAAATGTAATTTTTTCTACTAAAACCTTTATTATCTGCAGAAATATATTATTCATTGTGAATAATATACATTTCCGAACATTATAATATAGTTTTTCAAAATTTGTCATCATGCCTATTCAAACCACGTGACATTCAAGATGGCGTGGCGGCCACACATGGGCCAAAAAACACAAAAAAATATCTAGTTTCTGCCCGAATTAATATTTTAGGTAAACATTGTTTCACGAGGGTTCATACTTTTTGCCTTCCTTTTTTAACAAATGGAAATTGACTGAAACAAATCAATGACGTCAAAAACGTTTGTTGGTTCTTAAACCAGAAGTCATTCATTTTAATTTGTCAAAAAAATTGAATGTGTCATATGAATTAATCTACGACAACCCCTTTTTTCCAAATTATGGCGTGTTCGATGTCAAAAGTATGAACCCTGGTGAAACGGACCTTACCTAGTCAACAAATATTTTGTTCAATAATGAAAATCAAAGTTGTAAGCAAAACTGTATGCAAAATAATTTAAAATACGCATAAAAACATATTCAAAACAAACTTGCTTGGCCGCCACGCCACATTGAATTTTCCTTTTTGACAGATGGATTGAATTGCCTAATTGGTGTAGACAGTCTCTTATGGACGTCAAGTTAAGTTTGCTATGCCGCAACGCCATCTTGAACGTCAAACATCAAACTGCCCTCTTAACATTAGTTGTATTCCTTTCAAGGGTTTGAAACACTCGAGCTACTCGCTCCGGTGTTTAGTCGCCCCCGATTTGCAGGGAACAGATGCGTAATGCAACGAGCAACGAATACTTTTCGAAAGGAATAAGCGCGTGAAGCCCCGGAGCTGTTCCGGAGCTTCTCCTAGCTGTGAAAGGAATACAACTAATAGTTGTATTCCTTTCAAGGGTTTGAAACACTCGAGCTACTCGCTCCGGTGTTTAGCAGCCCCCGATTTGCTGGGAACAGATGCGTGGTGCAACAAACACTTTTCGAAAGGAATAAGCGCGTGAAGCCCCGGAGCTGTTCCGGAGCTCCTCTTAGGTGTGAAAGGAATACAACTAGTACGGACAACGCAACCCAACGAAACCTCCGTATCTATTTTGCGCATGCGCAGATCGATGCGGATACGGATACGTTCGAAATTCAGGACCTGCTTAAAGTGTCTATTAATAGTAATACAAACGAACGCCCTAAAGCAGGAAGTGCTCCTTCGAACAACACAAACAAACAAACCTTATGGTTAATTTGGAACATGCACTGCACATTGCACTGGCCACTGGTGCAAAACGGATGGGGTTCATATCTGACCCTAGTGTTGGATCAGTCTATCGTTGAAAAATTAGAAAATTCAAATTTATATCAATACTCAATAAACTCAACTACTATAGTAATTCATGGCTCTATTTATACCAATATAAAAATTAAAGAGCTGTAAAATAAAGAAAGGAACAGGCTACACTGCACTCGGGGCAAGAAGCAAAACAAGAGTTTTCCGATGGACTTCAAAAACCTGCACCGGAATGACAGGTTGTTAAATATTGCACTTGTTCCAGATCAGTTTGGAGCAGGTCTAGTAGATCCAAATGAAAACCTCTTGTCACAACTCTCGAACTCTCAAATCAGAGATTACACAACTGTACAAAAACCTGTCAACATTCTATTATTATTTAATATTTAAAATCAAAAAAGGGCCCAAGACTAGAGACTGTGTCCCATTGAAAGCCATGAATAATGCAATAGTTATTAGTTTTAGGTCCGTCAAACCCAGAGCTGGACTTTTAGCAGCAACCTCATGTAACCCAGCAAGAAATTATTCCGCATCCACCGAAGATGTGGACTACACGAATTTATCCTTGTACAAAAGGGGTACAGGAGGTAGGTCCAGTTTCAATGGCATCGTGGCCACAGTTTTCGGCTGTACAGGATTTATGGGCCGATATGTTTGCACCAAACTTGGCAAAATTGGTACACAACTGATTTTACCATACCGAGGAGATAATTATGATCCTATGAGGCTGAAGGTGGTTGGAGATTTGGGTCAAGTCTATTTCCATCCATATAACTTGAAAAATGAAGAATCTATTCGTAAAGTGTTAAAGTACTCCAATGTAGTTGTTAACTTGATCGGCAGAGACTGGGAAACAAGGAATTTTTCTTTTGACGATGTACATAATGAGGGGGCGAGGAGATTGGCCAGGCTCGCACGAGAAGCTGGAGTGGTCAGATTTATACATATGTCATCTTTGAATGCTTCCCAGGATCCAGAGAAAATTTTCATAGAAGGTGGATCCAGATTCTTGAAGACAAAAGCTTTAGGTGAGTGCTTACTACTTGATTGTTTGAATAGTAAACATTTTAAACATTTTTATCAACTATAATCTTCGCCTATTAGATAGACTCTAAAATCAAAGTTAGTTGAATATGTTTTCTAGGTAGATATCTTAGTTTTTTACAGGATGCCCTTGAGTTATGTCTCTAAGAGAATACGATAAATATCTTGTTTAGCTTGGGTATCAACATCCTTGAAAAATTTAATCTTAAAAAACCAATAACCATTTGGCTTATGATTCTTGATATATTTGAAGCAACTTTATCACCTCGTTTATCACTATTCCCAGTACTTAGAAAACATTTTAAAATTATCATATTCTTGCAAACATCCTTATCCCTCGAGTTATCCCTATCATTTTTGAAGTGATGAAATAACTACAGAGCTCGCTACAGAGGTGACAAAGATCACTTAAGAACATTTCGAAGATTCCTGAAAACTTTTAGAACATCCCAGCCTCAATCCCAGCGGTTCAAAATCATCAAGAAACTAATTGAAAACTTTGGAAAGCATTTCGAAAAAAAGCTTCAGAATGTGCTAGTGCCAAGTTAGAACATTTTTATGCCTCTAGAGCCATTTAGAACCTAAACTCGGCTTCAGAAGACTTTCGATTCAATTTTTTTTTGGTTTGAGACAAATTGGAATCTTTAAAAACGGAGAGACACATTCTAGAACAGACCAGAACACTTCTGAGCTTTTGGTAACAGTTTATAAAGCTTTTGGAACGCTATATCATATGGAGCTCTTGGAAACAATCTAGAACTGGAAACTTATAGAATATCCTAAAAATCGTCACATTACACTTTAGAAGTAACTTAAAGCTTCCATGAACATATTAGAACAGTCTAAAACACTTCTGAACTTATTTCGGATGGGTATTATAAAACTATTTTGACAAATAACTGAGAGTTAACTTCTGGAATGACTATGAAGATGTGACGACATTCCAGAAGTTAACTTCTAGTTATTCTATTTATAACACCCGCCCTTAGAATTTCAATTAGAGCTACCAAAATGCGCTCAAGAATATCTAGGAGATTTCTGATAACCTCTAGAGCATTCTGACCATTCAAGAGCATCAAGCAACCAATTAAATACTTTAGAAAGCATTATGAAAAGCTTCAAAATGCACTTGTGCCAATTTGGAACATTTTAAAGCATTCTAAGATGTTCTCAGAACTTTCCGCATCAATCTAAAACTGGAAACTTTCAGAATATCTTTTTCTTCCCTTTCAAATATTTTGGTAGGATTTCTCTGTGAGTTTTTGTGTTAATTTATATGAAAATACTTAAGGAAATACCCATCAAAACTCCATCCAAAAATCAAAGCAGAGCTGGGATCGTTACTTGAAAAAAGTAATGCGTTACTTTACAGTTACTTTTGCTTAAAAATAACTCGTTACTTAAAATTTACAGTTACTTTCGAATAATGATAACTTTATTTTCGTTACTTATTGGAAAGTAACGCGTTACTGTAACTTCGTTACTTTGAAAGTAACTTCTTTACTTTAAAAGTAGTTCGTTACTTTTAAAGTAACGCGTTACTTCAAAATTAACTATTTACGTCGAAAATTGCGTTATTCCTTAATTTGATTCACCAACACAGCAGTCCAAACAATCAAATAAGACCTATACGAAATGCCAATATGTTTTTAGTTTGTGAGTCCGACTATGTGGAAGAGTATTCTTGCAAAATTCAAACGGATTGAGGATTAAGCGACTGAATAGAGCACTGAATTTGGACAAACCTGCTCTTTGAAGTGTCCCAGTGTCTGCATATAGTGTCCTTAAAGCAGAGGCGGCGCGTGGTACGCCCAAAAACGATTATTTTGAGCTTTCAAAAGAAATTTTCTGTTCTACCAACATTTTATTTGACGTACAAAGTTTTTGGATTACTTATTTTCCTTTTCCTCACTCGTCAATTATTTGTAAAGAAGATAAACAAATTGAGAGAACGAGTTACATTCATAGTAACTAGTAACGCGTTACTTCAGGAAAGTAACGTCGTTACAGTTACTTATCAATCAATCTGAAAAGTAACGAAGTTACCAAGTAACACGTTACTTTCAGTAACTCATTAAAGTAAAGTAACTTTTTTTTGTCGTTACTCCCAGCTCTGAATCAAAGTAGGGAAAATTATTTGCCAACCCTGCTCCATGCCAATCAGATGCCTAAAACTAGTAAAACATTAACAATTTTACATTCATCTTCCTTATCATTTCGTTTGTTCTAGGTGAACTTGCTGTATTAGAAGAATTCCCCAATGCCACAATCTTTAGACCAGCTGATGTCTATGGTCAAGAAGACAGATTTTTAAGATACTACATGCACAACTGGAGACGTACATTACAAGCTCTCCCCCTCTGGGAAAATGGTCTGAAAACAGAAAAACAACCTGTACATGTAACCGACGTTGCCGCCGGCATTGTAGCCGCCATCAAAGATCCAGACAGTGCTCGCAAGATTTATCAAGCCGTGGGCCCCAAAAGATATATTTTAGCTGAACTGGTAGACTTCTTCCACCGTTGCACTCGCAGAACTGAAGAAGGCTGGGGATATCAAAAATATAACATGAAATGGGATCCGTTTTTCCAGCTGAAAGTTACTTTAACTGAAAGATTGTCTCCTACATGGCCGTTGGGTGATTTGTCTTGGGAAAGAGTTGAAAGGGAGCATTTATCAGATATCATTAAACCAGAATTGCCCACTTTGGAGGATTTGGGTATACAGTTGACTACAGTTGAAGAGCAAGTACCGTGGGAGTTGAGGCCTTGGATTTATGGAGCATATCATGGACATGATATTGATGATCCTATTATACCTCCTGCTCCACCCAAAGCTATAGCTTGAAAAAAAATATAATTTATTTTATCATTGTTATATACTGCGTAAATTAATAAACGTTTTAAATTAGATTATTATTGATCCTTGCCAATGTACTGGCTCATTTATCTACCAAAAGTAAGAAAGGGTAAAGAGCCCTATACTTTTCTGAAGAATCGATGATCCCTTAGGATTTCACATGAATGTTTAATCCGCAGGATTTCAGTTCAGCTCTGAGTGAGTGGAGCAACAATTTTCGCACCAACGATCATGTTTTCGAACGTGTCCTTCGTTCAGTTGGAGTTGGGTCAACAAAACCCATCGACAGCCAACCAAACCACTATACACAATTATTTTTATTTACAAACTAATAAATAGTTATTTTATTTTTTTAATAATTCCACCTTTTATTGTTTCTTACTGTGTGTTTTATAGAATTGATAGACAACAAATGGAAAGTAGTCACATTTTTTGTTGTATTTGTATAGAGGATAAACCAGGGCTTGCAAGCCTAAAAGAATGCGACGAAAATGGAATTAACCATAGGGAAAAACTGATTATGTGCGCCCCAAATCAAGCAAGTTAAATATTTTATAGCTAAATATGTAAATTTCAAAACTATTTTTGTAGAATTGGGACAAGAAGCTGAGCATATGCAAATTGTGCATCGATCAACTAAACACTGTATACAAGTTTATAGAATTATGTAAAGTAAGCGAAATATTAAGAGATGAGAAGCTGAAGCAGTACGATGACGAACTAAGCAAACCACCAGGAGAGATATTTACCTGTGATCCTTGTCAGAAAACCTTTAAAAAGAAAAGGTTTTTGAAAACTCACATCACCAAGGCTCACACAGATGAAAAATTCAAAAAGAAATGTAAGTACGAATAAGTTCAAACATTACTCTTATTGACCGGGAATATTCTTTATTTTATTTTTCCTTTCAATGCTTATGAAATATCCGGTATTCCAAAAGTCCAAACCATTTTCCTCCCTTGCTTAGGGGTCAAAAATGACGTTTTCTAGTAAGGTACAAGTATAACAGTATAACTTTCTAACTAAAATGCGTGCTGAAAAGTGCACTTTTCCGCACGCTTGTAGAAAAAACTTAAATACATTGTTATATTATTGTCTCAGTATAAAATTTGATATTATAAAAGACTTTGCTGCCCTTTTTGCATTAAACATTTCTTCTCTTTATTTCTCTTCCTTTAGTATCAATTTATTTCTATTCCAGGCTCTTGAATTTCTGTTTTCTTCTACTTAAATTTATTTTAAAAAAATTACGAACATTCAAAAGCCTGGAATAGAAAATAAAAATTATCAATTTACCTCAATTTTTTCCTCCCTATTTCTCCTTTCGAAGGAGTCACTTTTTTAATATTCCAGGATCTTGAATTTCTGTTTCCTTCCAAATTTCTTTTCATAAATGAATAAAGGAACATTCAAGAGCCTGGAATAGAAAAGGAAAATTATCAATTTTCTTTAAATTTTTCCTCTCTATTGAGCTTTCTATTTCTCTTTTCTTTAATGTCAATTGTTAACTATTCCAGGCTCTTGAATTTTTGTTTCCTCCAATAGTATATTGTGTATTTGGTGGAAAAGTGACACATTCTCGGCTGACTGTTTAAGTCGACAGGCAAGGCGTAGCCGAGGTCGGCACAAACAGAAGGCCAAGAATGTGCTCTTCCACCGAAATACACATACTATTTTTTCTGAGATCGGTTAAATATCTGTTAAACGTTTGTATTTTTGTTCCAATTGTTCAGCAGTACGAGAATCACTTTCCCGGCCTAGGCCGGAAAAGTGATTCTCGTATTGTTATTCATTGATTCCTTAGCAACTATTGAAACATAATTAAAATACCAGAATATTGGGTTTTGCGACCTGTCAACCGGTTAAAAATGCTGACATTTCTTGTCAATTTCAGAAAAATTCCTTTTTTGTGCAATCGTCTGCGAAATTGCGCGGCCGCCACGCCTGACGTGCAATTTTTCTGTAACTTTACATAATTTTTATCAAATCAAGCCAAATATTTTCTCATCAGTGGATAATAGGTTTTCCTATTCTGGGTTTTCCCACGAACTGAATTTTGGTCAGCCGATTAGATACTCAGTCACCATATTGCAGCAAAAATTGCTGTTTGGTGTTGAATCTTTATCTTAGATAGCGCCACGATCAAATTTCGACCGTTGTACTATGTGTATATTGCCTACAGGCACGAAACTTGGTTTGGTTTTCTTTGCTTTTCCTAGCCATGCTGATGAGACCTGATAGGTCGAAACGCGTCTATGGATGGAAAAGCAGAGAAAATCAAGTCAAATATTTTCTCATAATTTTTATAGTTGCACAAAAAATAGTGTGTATTCCTATTCCATGACCGCAAAACTTTTAAGCGTCCTCAAGACTATCCTGCCTCGGCCGCAAGCGGCTGAGGGGATAACTTTTCTCTATGTATGCTAAAAAGGCATTTCGCGGCCTTGGTATACAAATAACTATTTAAAAAAAGAATAAGAAACATTCAATAGCCTGGAATAGAAAATAAAAATGATCAATTCTCCTCAATTTTCTCCTCTCTATTTCTCCTTTGGATAGAGTCACTTTTTAATATTCCAGTATCTTGAATTTCTGTTTCCTTCCAAATTTCTTTTTTTTAAAAGAATAAAGGAACATTCAAAAGCCTGGAATAAAAAAGAAAAATGATCAACTTTCCTTAAAATTTTGCTATTTATTGAGCTGTCTATTTCTCTTTGCTTTAGTGTCAATTCTTAACTATTCTAGGCTCTTGAACTTTTGTTTCCTTCAAACTTTCTTTTTTTAACATAATAAGGAACATTCAAATTTCAAAAGCCTGAAAAAAGAAAATAAAAATAAACAATTTTTTTAAATTTTCTCCTCTCTATTTCTCCTTTCGTTGGTATGTGAAAAGACTTCGGGAATACCCTAAATCTTTGTCTGTTCGCTACTACTCTATAGCAGCCTCACTATAGATTTCAGGTGAGAAAGGCTTGACTGTAGTAGGTTGAGTAAGACAACAAATGACAGTTGAATACTGATTTAATAATTGAAAAATATCACAATTTATAATAATCTAATGGCGTTTCCGATTGGTAGATTCAGTGTGCACCGAGTGTATTTGCATCCTTTTAATCAACCTGTAGAAGGAAAAGACAGAAATAGAAAAAACTGCACTAGTTCCGCATTAGATCTACCAATCGGAAACGCCTTAGGTCAAAATAATTTAAATGAGAATTTCATACATCTGTCAAAACTGGTATTCCAACAATAAATTGACATGTTTTGATTGTTGATTTGAACCAATCAGATTGTAATTACGCGACAATTTGCACTAGTGCAAATTATCAGATAATTGCATACTAACTGGTGCGAAAACTGGTGTTTTGACATTTTTTGACAAAAAATTTAAATTTTTGATTTATGAAATTCTCTCATTAAATACAACTCGTGCAATGGAAATATATTTATAATTTTCGACAAATTTGCACTCATGCGTTTTTAACTGAAAAAGGCACTCGTGCTCTTCGTGCTCTTTTTCAACTAAAAATGCATTCGGGCAAATTTCCCAAAAATTATCAATAATTTCCATTGCAGTAGTTATATATTACGATTGATAATTTTTCCTAACTTTACAATATCATTACTATTATAAGTACTATCTAAGTTTCGACATGAACCTATGATGTTCCGGAATAAATATTAGAGAGGTCTGCACTTTTTGTGTCCTGACACGCTTGACCGTGAATATTTGATTCTATTATTTTTATTTAACAATTGTTTTTAAATAAGGAAAGTCCATGCAGTTAATTAATTTTTGTGTGGTATCGGATTTTTTTCCATATTGTATTTTCAAGCTGGGTTCTCACTGTTTCTTCGTCGTGGATTATTGACTGGAAGTTGTCGTTTATGTTTAGAATTGGTTCGTCTTCAATGAGTGAACTTGTAGTTGGGGAGCTGGCGTCAAAAACATGCAAGAGTTTTCGCAAGGCGGATATTTTCAAAATAGGTCGTACTTTAGTGCTAGAATGCTAGTGTACAGTCAGCACTCACAGTTCCGGGATAGCTGGCTCTGGGACGCGGGCAAAGTTGTAATTTTAAGAAGCATCTAAACTGTTTTCTCAAAGCTCAAAATTTATAGAAATTTTGCACATTATCTGTTTGAAGGTCACAGATAACGTATGTAAATCGTCAGACGTCTAGTTCGTTGCAAAAAGGGGGTCAGACGTCCTCAAAGTTCTTATTTTATGGCATTTTCTTTGGTGTCCTGTCAAAATATATTTTTGCAGGTATTTGACAAATATATTTGAAGAAAATGCCATAAAATAAAAACTTTGAGGAAGTCTGACCCCCTTTTTGCAACGAACTAGACGTCTGACGATTTACATACGTTATCTGTGACCTTCAAACAGATAATGTACAAAATTTCTATAAATTTTGAGCTTTGAGAAAACAGTTTAGATGCTTCTTAAAATTACAACTTTGCCCGCGTCCCAGAGCCAGCTGTCCCGGAACTGTGAGTGCTGACTGTACACTAGCATTCTAGCACTAAAGTACGACCTATTTTGAAAATATCCGCCTTGCGAAAACTCTTGCATGTTTTTGGCGCCACCTCCTGGACTATTGGATTGCTTGAGAGTAACTGGCTACTACTGGAACGCTTTCTAGCCTTTTTGGCGTCAGAATATTTGGTCTGGTTTTTATGATGCAGTCTTGTGATACTTGGACCATCCCACTTTTTTCCAAACTGATATCTTCTCTGATGCCGTTGCACGTAATAGCTATCTGTGTTGGTGATGCTGCGATAAATAGTCATGTATATACAATCTTCTCCATACCGCATAGATGCGATCGCATTTCTTCCGGCCTCTACATGAAGAGGTTGCTTGACGTCCGTAAATTTCGTCTAGAGCACAATGCGGGTTCGTTTCTAAGTTTTTAACAGTTGTGGGATTGCATACAAAATCTGTGCCATCGCCTGGGTCACACGATGTGAATTCTTCGTCACTTTGCTGAAAGTATTGTTGATTGTTGTAGTCTACTGCTAATACTTCATTTGGAATGTCTACTAGTGTCCAATAGGACCCATTTATGATTTTCAGTGCAGTTGAAATAAGCTTTAGCAACTGAAAATCTGCTATGTCTTCAATGATAAAGTAATCAAATCAAATATGCTTTATTGTCAGATAAAAACAGTTAGTTCCATAGACAAAGCAGTATCCAAAAATTCTATACATACATACTTTCACTTTGCTGTATTTTTGTTTTTATTTCTGGAGTATGTATAATTTTCAAGTTTGATGGGAGTTTTTCATTTGCATTGTAAATGATCCTGTGCACTTCTGATGGAGCTATTAGATCCAAAATTGTTGCTCTACCAAATATCACTTGATACAGCTTGGTATAGTAGTTTTGGATTTGGGTTATGACGTTGGCTGCCAGATTGTATGAACTTAAAAAATGAATGTTGAGCGCGTTTACATGTTTACATCTACTATTTTGCCATATACAGCCTTCCGTTTGTTTACTGACGATACAGTGGTAAGCATGATTTTTGTTTGGTGTTAAGATGACTTTATAAGTTCTTCTTGATTAGTTTTCAGGATGTCGATATCCATATATACTTCTTCGTTGACTCCAAATACCGCTGTTAGTACTTTTCCAAGAATTCCCTTTTTTTCACGCCTGTGCAGGAATTGTAGACTCATTTTTATTAATTCCACTACTTTTTTTTGTTCTTTAAGATGTTTGAATAGATCGCTGCATTGTGTTTCTTCAAATTGGGACACGACACGACCCGTTCTACTTCTCTTGCATCCTGGTTAATTTTGGTTTTGTTTACGTCCAGTTGCAGCCGGAATA